TTCTCGGTTTTGGGGTGTGACACAAAATTAGTGTGCCGGTTAACCACACACGCTCCACTAACGACCTGACAAGGTGCAAAGTGCAATTTCATGGAATAGCACCATTTTCACATTTTTTCCTAAAGTAACTAAGATTGGGAATTTATAAAGGTTTAGTTACTTTATAATATCATTATACTTATTAAAGATGATTAATGTCCTATCCTACTCGTTCGGCTAACGACCCTCCACTAGTCAAGGGTGCGGTGGGTAAGAGTGGATACCCAATGACGGTCATATTATAGGCCGTTTCTTTAAACACCCCTTATAGACTAGCTTCGTGAATGAGGCCTACTAACGGTAAGACTGACATGTCTTATACATATTATATAAGTATTAATCTTTTAATATTATAATAGTATAAGGGTTGAATTTTAAACTTTTAAAATTATAGGGTTTAGATATAATGTTTCATAAATGAGACTTTTCAAGTTCCAAAACTTGAGGGCAAGTTTTGTAACTCTTCAAGACTTTTTAGATTCCATAACTTATGGATTTATGTTTCATGAATGAGACTTTTCACATTCCATAACTTGAGGACAAGTTATGAAACTCTTCAAAACATTTAGATCAAATTTTAAACTAATACAATTATCAAATAATTTATCATTTACCAATTTAACCTAATTTAATTCATATAGCAAGATAATTTCAAACCAAATAATACAAATAATTAGCTTATCATATCAACTAGCAATTATCTTAAAATTTTGATAATTATCTTTTAATTTGGATGAAGATAATCATTACCTTATCATAAAAAATGATTTTTTAGTAGTCAAAACCGTTTGTGGTAATGATTCTAATCCAAAACTTGATCAAAAACTGAAAATCTGCCTACTGATCAGTCACCACGTCGTGGTAACTATGACCACGTCGTGGTTATTAGGCAGATTATCCAAAAAACGATTTCCTTGCTTTGAACAATTACCAATGCATCAATATAACATAAAACACCCTAGTCTGTGATACCACTGATGAGTTTTATGTACTCTAACATCCATATGGTGCACACACAACCCTAATGCTTTGGATCTAAGTTTTCTCTAGTTACACATGCAATATTCATTTTCCATAGCATGAAGCCTAACTAGCATGCAACTTTGATATATGAATCATAAAAAAACTAGTTAGATGATTACCTCTTGTTGTAGCTTGTAGAACTTGGCCTTATAAGAGCTTAGCACCTCAGGTGTGATGCCTCAATCAAGTCACAAACACCAAAAATAATTAGAGGAATATGAGAGAGGTTTAGGAGACACCAAAATCGGCTAGCTTCTTCTTTGAATACTTGTGTGTCGATTTTGGAGCTAAGGGAACACATTTATAGTGTACAATCTCAAGGGTCACTTGTAAAAACTAATTCATACACTTAGGCTTTTAATCCAATAACACTTCATGGACTCTCATATGAATTTAGTCCATTACTAATTAATCATGAATCATTAGCCCAAATTATATATATCATTGATTTACATAATCAGCCAGTGTTAATTTAATCAGTCTCTTTTGATCACTAAATTAATTCCAAATTAATTCTTGATCAATACCAATTAAATAATATGATTTCTCAATTAATATATTATTTTTATAATATATTAATAAATCACAAATAACCTTTTTCTCAAATATCCATCCTATCAAATTATACTGGTGAAGGCAATCCAAAATGGACAATGCTACTATCGGGTCAAGTACATACCAATTATAGTTATGGGCTTAGACACCTAATCCAACAGAAGCGTAGATTAGCAACAAGCCCCTCCAAGTAAAAAAAAAAAAAAAAAGAATTAAATGTGATTTTTTTTGGAAAGGCAACTTCTCTAACGAGGGTTTCTAGGCCATCTTTCGCGCACCGATTAATCTCCGCTGCAAACATGAGGCTATGCCTCATGCCCTGGAGTCACTGCAACCGAACCTCCATGGCCACATGGGCTGAATAGTGTCAAGATTTGAACATGTGTCAGTAGGTTATTCACCATATCTTCTACATGTTTTACAAAGTTACCACAACCCAAGTGGTTATGTGCAAATTTATTTTAAGTTGTGCATAAAATGGAATTTGAATTGATCGCGTATATTTAAAAATAAATTAAAAAGCAAAGCGTTGTTACAATTAATTATTTCACAAACAAAATGAAAATTCGATACGATCAAACTTAAAATATGAAATTGAAACAATATAAATGAACATTAGCTAATATTAATGATCTACTAAAAAAATTGTATATGTTTAGATAATTTAAACCGATTATTAATTTTATTTTATTAGAAACAAAATGTGTTATCTAAAATTTGAACCCAAAAAAAAACATAAAAATACATTATTATTAATCAAAGTGCATGCATACGTGATGATATTAACCGAATATTCATAATAAAAAGAAGTTTTTCCAGCATAATGTTTAAAGATATATTTTATGATAAAATAAAATTTTTAATTTTATATATATATATATATATATATATATATATATATAATTTCAAATATCATAAAATTTTTAATTTTAAAGATATATATATATATATATATATATATATATATATATATATATATATATATATATATATATATAATTTCAACCATTTGTCATAGTTTTCTAAGTATCTTAATATCTTTTGTTCTTATCTATAATAAGGAAAAAATGATATGGTCTTTCTAAATATGGATGTGTATATGATAAGCGAGATTTTGATATAAAAACATATTTTTACAAAGAAACAATTTTAGACATCATAAAAAACTCTCAGAGTCCATATATGTGCATATTAATAGTAAAATAGATTATTTATTTATGAGAAAATAAATTCCTACATATATTAACATTCACTCAATAAGTCAATAGTATTCTTGCGCAACACGCGAGCATACGACTAGTTAAAAGGAAAAAGAAGAAGAAAGAGAATGCAATTTTCCACTACACGATGACCCTTTGGCTCAAACCTTTCAACAAGGTGTGGTGTTCCCTCTACGGTTAAATGTCCACCTCACCCCCACCACACCATGCGGTAAGGGCACCCTTGAGCCTTAAATTCAAATTTACCTCCAACCAAATCAATTTTTGTATCATATTTGGTTATAAAATACAAAATAAAAACAACAAACTTTAGAAGTACATGATTATAAGTCTATAAATTGAAATTACTAATAATTAGAGTTGTGAATTTGGTCGTCTTCCTGCAAATACTAGTAATCGGTCATTCGGTCGTGTTCATGAAATAGAAGTTTTTCTAATCCGAATTCGATAACTCTTCAAAATCACCCTCAGTGCCTTGTTTTCAGCACTATCTTTATGATTCTTTAATGTCGTTTTTCCGGCGCATTTATAAAACTTCCCACATTTCTTGCATCCAGCCTTTTTTTTTTTCTTCATCTTTCATAATACAGAAGCTTGTGATGACGCCATCTTGAGTTTGGAATGCAAAGAAAGTAACCGAGAATGCGAAAAACGTCAAGAGTATGGAGAGCATTTTTTACGGGGTATTGAAACCAATACAATCAATACCTATTTATACAAACATTAGAGGGTAAATATGGTAATTTTGGGACTGAAAACGGTAATAAATGCCTATTTTAGCGGTTATGTTACCGTTCTTTTTCATCAAATCCTGACCCAAAAGGTCAAAACCGGTCAGACCACGAATTAAATCCATTCTCCACAGTCCATATTTTTCCCAAAAGACAAAATTACCCTTCACTGCATATCTATTTACTTTCTTGTAATCGAAACATACTCGTAACTCCATTGATAAGAAATTTTTACAATATTATCTCATCTTAACAGAATAAAGAAGAAGAAAAATACAGATTGTATTCAACTGAGTTTCAATGCTCAACTTTATAAATTCTTGTAGTTGATACATGCTTACTACTGTTTTACAAAACTTGTAATTTAATTTTTGTTTTCTAAAAAGAGGTAAAAAAACTAATATTTTAAATGACAATATGGTAATTGCAATCATCCTTGGATGTAAAAAGAGGTAAATGCATGAAAAAGCATTGTACTTTCTGTTTTTTTCCTTATTATAGTGTTGTACTTTCATTTTTTCTTATCATAACATTGTACTCTTAAATTGTACATTAGGGCATTGTACTCTTATCATTATAGCAATAGTTTTTTTTTTTTTTTTTTTTTCTTTCTTTTGAACGGAAAAATAAAAAATAAAAGAAACCAGCAAGGGGATGCACCAAGTACATTAAGAGAATAAGGAAAAAAAGGCTAAACAATTAAGAGAAAATAAGAGCACAAAGGCTGAGGTCAACCGAATATGCTAAGGCAACACCAAGTAAGAAAAAAGATATTTGTCAGGCAACCATAGCAACAGGGCATAACATCAGGGATAAAATCGTCCAATTTGTGAGAGACTTAGCAACAGTATAATTCAGGCAACCACTGCATCAGGGGCAAAATCGTCCAGATTTGATCTCTCATTTAGAGAGGCTTCCAGTTAGGTTTCAATCGCCTTTAAGTTGTATCTCTCACCAAAATCTGACCACATCACTGAACAGGTGCAGCAACCTCAAGGGCAAATGTGTCAAACTTGTACCAAATTGTAAGAATGGCATATCTAACTACTTTCACACAAGACCATCAGCAGCAACTCCTCTCATCAAGGGTAAATAGGTCAGAAAAGAGACCAAGTTAACATGTTATTATAAGTGGTAAAACATTGACATACGTGATCGATGAATCATGGAAGGAGATATGAAGATGAGCATGTTAAGCATTGTACTTCCAAGTTATTCCTTATTAGGCATTATGCTTTATGCAATATTGGTAACCTAAAAAATGCACAATTATAAAATATCAAGATGACATGGATTTAACCTAGGAAAGTTTACAGAATAACAATGGGTAATGAAAATGAAAAACTTATAATACTTGCCATTCCCCAATGATTCTTGAAAAACACACACACAAATTCAAGAAACACAGAATGATAATGTCTCTTTACAGACTTTACTTCCTACTTCTTAAAGATAATGGTCTCCTTCGCATACTCCCACCACCACTTGGCAAATCTCTCTGGTTATCTCCCTCATCAAGCATCTTGACTTGTGTTTGAGCAATGTTCAAAGCCTCATCATCACTAAAACTTTCTATCTCCGTAGAACCCTTACCCTTCAATTCTCCTTCCTCAACTTCATTATCATCATCGCTATCATCCTCCAAAGAACTGTTACTAATGGTCGCCACACTTTCTTTCCTTCTTCCACTTTTAAAAGACAAGCTCCCGGATTTCTTATCAGAGAGTGGAATTAGGGATTTTGATTCTTGGGTTGTCGTATCTTTTCCTAAACTGTAAGTCGTGGAAAGCTTCCTCTCTATGTCTTCTCTTTCTCTCACCAAATCCCCGAGTTGTTCAATCTCTTCATTCGATGCTGCTTTTTTCTGAAGCTCGGTTATTGTCCTATCAAACACTTTCTTTTGAATCCGAAGCGATTTCTGTGAAATATACAACAAATTGTTGGATAACTCAAGGGTTACAAAATGGAAAGAGATGTGTATAAATAATACTATAATCCAGCTTACTCTTTTTTCAAGGAACTTGGCAAGATCTTGGTTTTTAACCTTCTTTTTCATCCAAAATATGCAACAAAATTGTACCAGGCCTACCAGTACTATCATTAGGATTGTTTCAAAGAAGAGAAATAATATAATTGCTTTCTCATTGCCTGTGTAGAGTGTAACATGCTTGGTTTCCATCATTGAACATCTTAATGCATGCTTCTCATCTGTTGAAAATTGAATTATAAAGTTTATATATAAAACAGGATTCGATCTGATTATAATAAAAGTTATTAGATCATTACGTGTGCTAAAGCATGGAAATGGGTTCCCAGTATCTGCATCAAATAGAAACATCAACTTGTAAATCTCAATCGTACTAATTCGACATGACGAGCTCATTGACAACATTTAAAATAAAAAAAAAAAAAAAAAAACTTACCTGAAACAGAAAGAAAAGCAAGAAGTACACTTTCATCAAGAAGAAAATGCCTCAGATCACTCTCGTAGAATAAGTATGACACTGAACCTATTTCGATTAAATTAAAAAAGTCAAAATTATGTAACTTTCAATGGTAAGTTGATGCATATGACATAGGAAACCAGATCACCAGGATAGCTTGCATTCCAATACACAGATCCTGTTGTAGGAACAAGCAACTTGAAATCGGCATTCAATGGCGTCCCTGCTGAAACATAAGTGTATTCACCAATGATTTGGCTAATCTTTCCCTCGAATTTTCTCTGAGATATGTAAACCGCATATCCAGAGCAATCAAGAACCGGATTAACTACCATCACTGTATCATTGACATATATTCTTTGCATCCATATAACAGTTTTCTCTGGGAATTTCTTAAGAATCCCAGATGGTGAAATTGAATACAGAAACCCATCCAATGAACCAATAGATATCCAACCATTGATATCAACAACTGGATCAGGGTCTTGTGTGCTTAATGGCCCTATATTTTGCGTCCATACAAGAGTTCCAGTTCCAGCATCTAAACCAAGAACAATGGCTCTATCTGCTACAGTGACATACACTTTCCCATTGTTTCCAGCTGTAACTGTTAAATTCTTCCCAAATGAGCTAAGATTCTGAATCCACTTAAAATGAGGACTACGAATTGACACTGCATACAATTCCCCTTGATTATTCCACACCTGTAATTGTAAAAACATCAGAATTTAAGAATTCAAGAGATAAAAAGGAAAGAAGGAGAAGTTGGAAACTTGGCATACATAAATGTTAGCATCACAATGATCGATGACAGGGGCTGAATCAAAAAAGCAGTCTGTGAAGTTTTTCCAACAACCTTGGCGATACTTTGATTGAGTAATTATAGGTCCAGTACTCCACCTTAGTTTCCCATCGTAACTGTAAGCAAACAGTCCCGTTCTTTTTATAGTCACAAGTACACAAAAACTGGTTATGCTTACTGAGAGCCCAATAATCTCATTCATCCCTTCTACACCTGTTTCTGGACCCAAAAACACTTGTGTAGCATTTTTAGAAATTTGGGTGTTGTTAGTATTGACTCTTAGAACTCTGTTCCCTGCAACCAAATACACCTGCCAGTAGAAAAACAGTCATAAACCAGTTTTTATTTGAGGTCCTATAAATCAAGAGTTTGATAAATGCATACTATCTTTCTTGAAGCTCCAAGAACTGGCGTTATACCAAGATTGCATGTGTGATTGAGAGGTATCATCCTGGAAATGGAGCCGGTCTTATGGAAAATCATCAAGTTCTTTTCCAGACATGTGTAAATCTTCTGATCATCACCAATCAAAGGGTTTGATAGCTTGAGTGATTTAGGTGGTCGCTCTTTATCTAAAACACATCATATAATTAAACAAATAGAAAAAGCATGTATCTGCAAATGTAAATTTCGTGAGTACTTTATCAATGCTGTAATCTACATATTATTCTGATCAATGCTGATATGAAGCTCTTCGAATTATACACGAAAGCACAAGTTTACCACATCAAAGAACAGCCAATAGTCAGCCCAAATTTCAATTTAGAATCTAGATATGATCATAAAATGCTAACTTCTTTCTTAACAGAGATCGAAACATCAAGAAAAGCAGAAGACACTAAGAATTAATGTAAGATTACTTTGATACTGGAAACAAACCTGATATAAAGTGTTGATACGACGGGAGATTAAGAAAACCAGACTCCGAGGCAGCAGAAACTAATCGGAACATGAACAGTATAAGAATACTGAAAAATTCAAGAGTAAGAGACATGGTTGAGTAAAAAATCGAAAAGGTTCAAGGGTTTTCGTAGGAGAGTGAAGGTAATTCATACTCGAGGATTTCAAATGTAGTAACCGTTATTAAACCGTCGCCGGAACAGTGTTCCTGCCGATCCACCTGGAGGAGTGGACTGTCAACTGTGGAGACTAATTCGTCTCGTGGTTAAAAAAAACACCGCAATGTCTCGAAATGAGGCCCAATACGTAAACTGTATTGACCAGTGTGGTCCACTACGTAAAAAAAAACCATTGATTATTCTTATATAAAAAGGGAAAATGCAAAAAAAAAAAAAAAAAAAAAAAAAGACTAAATATCTCGAAAATCCATTTTCTTATATCAATTAAGTAATTTTCATTTTTATGATTTTGACAAAATATCATGATTCCGTTTTATAACCAGTAACCATATACTAAGTAAGATAACTTATAATGGTATGACTTTACTCGATCAAATATACGATCACATGAAACTTTTTGGTTATTAAATCTTTTTCACACTAAACCCCGTTGTTATTACTCGAATTGGGTTGAATCCTCTGATGTCCTTTAACCTAAATAACCTATGCCAAAAATCAATATAAAAAAATATGACTGCAACCAAAACTGTTCAGCTCTATTTACTTTCTTTTTCTATTTCTTTTGAAGTTGATGAATTTTTGTTAGTAAATAATACTTATGAATGCTGATGGGAGGCGGTCATAGAACAAAAACCATCAAACAAACACATCATATTACCGGTTAGTGACCTTGAACTTGAACTTTTGGTAAAACTGAAAAGTTACAAGTTCATGAGAAGTTTAAATGAAACAAAAAAAGAGCAAGAAAAAGACAAATTTAAACAAATCTCATAAGTTTGTTTTAAGATTTAGATAAAAATTAAGCATAAGGCCCAAATAGCCACTATTTTTGAGCCCTTCCTGCAAAATGGGACATATGGCTGTGAAATAAGCGGGCTGGATTAGTCGAAAACTGGGGTTTGAGACGATGATAATATCCTTATATAGGTTGTATAAGGGCTTTGGCGCCTTATTCATGACAAATTAGAGAAAATCTAATCTTTATTATTCTTTTAAATTAAATGCTTCCAACTTATAACCAATTATAAGTGGTCAACTGATACTAGATAATAACCATAATGTTCACTTCTTTCCGTTTTGTATGATCAATAGAAAAGCTGGGAGCGATGTCAATTATTATGCTAATGCTTGTGCGTAGTTTTTTTAGCAACTAAGTAGTTTTAGGATCGAAATCAAAGACCCAACTCTCTCTATATACATAGATCTCAATGTATTTGTAAACCTTATTGTGGAATTAATAAACCCTTTTATTTTTACAAGTAATTATGTGTAGGCAAACCTTCATAGTCTTCAAATCGACTACAAGAGATCAAACAACACTAACTTTACAAATACCAAACAACGATCTATCTACTTACAACATTCCAAACTGTAAATTTAAATGCCTGCTGTGGTTTAATAATTATAAGTTTTAAGAATATAGCAACTTCCTTCCTTAAAAGGGGCTGAACATGGAAGCCAACATCAACATGGGTTCTGGACAAAGGCGTTTTCTTGGAGGTGCTGTAGCAACCTTAGCAAGTGCATCAGCATCACCACCATGTATGTAATCAACAATGTAATCAAATACCTCATCTTTACCCCCTCTTAGAGCATTCTGTCACAGATTGATCAGTTGGAAGAATCTCAAAAAACAATCAGTATTCAGTAGAGTTAGTTTGAATTAACAGTTAACAGTTAACATCAACTTACTTGAACAAATAAATCTGTATGGCTTTTCCCATTGCATAGTTTCAACTCAGCTCTTACACCAATTCTCTTAAGACTCTCAACAAAACTTATACTGCAAAAAATCAAATAGTATATTAATTTCAAGATATCCGAATAGTAAATGTATGGGAAATCAAACCTTGCATCTGCTGGTATTGAATAATCTGCAGTTCCATGGAAAAGGATAACATGGGGAAATATAGAAACAGCATTCACAGCACTTGAATCTTCAATCAAGATTTCAGGAGAAAAACGTTTCAAAGATTCTTCCCCCTCCATGATACTATTAATTAATTACCAAAATATACCAATTAAAAAAGCATTTGGGGTTAAAATTTAAAAAAAAAAAAAATACTATTAATACCTTAAAAGTATAGAGCGGTGGAAGCCTCGACTATCAAAATGTTCAACTAGACTTGGTAGGTTGTAGCTGCATGAGTTGCAAAGTTTAAAGATTAATGTAATTTCTCATTTTAAAGAAAAGAAATAAATAAAATAAGACGGATGGATGGATGGTTTTTAGTTTTTACACTCCAGATAAACCAAAATAAGCTTTGATCTGAGAGACACTCCAAGAGATGGTCTCTCCTTTGGATTCCTTAATGGCCTGCTGAAAGAGTACACAAGAAGATATATGGGCACCAGCAGATTGTCCCATTACATAAATCCTGTTAATTAAACAAGGCTGATGTCAGCATATACCAAATTTCAAACATCTTTCAATAAATATTATACAAGTAGCCCACCTATTTGGATCACCTCCATATTCAGCAATGTTTTTGCACACAAAAGATATTCCTTGAGAAATATCTTCAACCATATCACTGATTGTACCCTGAGGATAGTTCCTACATGCAAACCAAATTAATCTCTCAAGTCTTGAGATTTGAGAATATGAATTTCATCAGTCAAGTCACCTGTAGTCAAGAGATGCCACTATGATATCCCTTTCTGCTAACGGAAGAGCGAAAAGGGCACCCAATCCTTTATATCTACATAATACAGAAAAGTTATTTGGATCATCAAAGTTCAAACACAGTGATAATGGACACATGAAGTTTGACTGTTTGCTTACCCTATCATCCATGCTCCACCAGTCACAAAGATAATGACGGGTTTCGGGCCATCTTTATCTTTTGGTAAGAATAGATCCAATCTGGAAAATAATCAAACTAAATGCATAAACAAACATAATGTGGCATCTAAATTGTGAATCAACATGGCAACATTACCTATTTCTAGGCTGATCACCATAAACCACACTTCTACGGATATGGGTTGACAGGCAAAATTGATATGCAACTGTAAAATTAAAAGTTAAATTGCAAAACATTATATTTCAAGATTGAGGTTCTAATATGTATGAAAAAACTTGATATGTGAGGGAAAAAAGTAACCGATCACCAAACAAACCTTTGAGCAAGCCAGGTGATATCAGCGATGTGTAAACTAAGAGGGAAATAGCCCTCGTCTTATTTCGGCCTACCCTGATTCACAAAAAAAAAAAAAAATGAAATTAAAGCGCCACAATTCAATGTAAGAATTGCTAGATTTTTTAATTGTAAACCCATTAAGAAACATCTGAAAGTTCCTCCGGAATGTTATGTTACAGTCTGTATGATCGCAATAACGGTACTCAACTGGAGCAACTCGATTTTTTTCTATGAACATTTCTCGCAATAACAATTTGTATATACAAATTTATGTAAAGAATGAATGAAACGCGGAAAGCTTCTCAAGTTATGTGGAAAACTTGTTCTGCAAACGATTTGAAGTCAAATGATATATAGTACGGAGAATTATAAAAAAAGAATTGTACCCGAGATAGCTGATGAGAGTAAAAATAAGACCAATTATTAAATAAGTTTCAGTAGCAGCATCTATCAAATCGAGACGGAAGGATTCTGATCGAGGTAGGCACTGATCAGAATTTATCACCGGCGAAACATTACTGGAGTTTCTCCGTCTCGTGCCACTGCCAAAGGTAGGGGTGTTGGTTGTCTTCATGTCTTCAGCGAAGCTTCGAAGCCTGCATTCCCGGCGTTTTTTTTTTTTTGAATAAATGGATAAATTCAAAAATAGCAAGGATGTAAAAATGATATCAGGATAAAAAACTAAAAGAAAATTTTTAGGGAATCCAATTTATAATCCCTGTATAGATAAACGGATTATTTCTAGTGATGTTTGTATAATCCTATCCTTTTTACATAAATTTTAGTTTAAAAATAGATGTAGGTCCGTTATATATCCCAACTAATTGCCTATTGTGGATTCATGATCATTTAAACGTGTATTATATTTCGTTGTTGTTTGCTTATATTGTTTTTAATAATTTAGACGTTTATATGTTAAAAAACGTGTATTGGGTTTGTTAAGGAAAAGCTTATCAAGACAAATGTTGATTTTTGTTGTTTTAAATTAGTTTATTTATTTACTTATTATTATTATTTTATTTATTTAATTACTTAATTAATTAAATGGAAAAAATTAGCCCGAAATTTGAGATGTTACAATTACCTACCCTTAGGACGATTTCGTGCCCAAAATCGCAATGTCCAAGAACAAGTGGTGATATCTTCTTTTCATTTCTGACCCGTCCAAAATTCAATCTTATCGAGTGCTTCCACTTCACAAATACCAAGTCAATGATCTTCCTTCTTAACTTCTTGGTTTTCTTATCCATGATGGCTTCTCCTTCTTCAATTAAACACTTGTCCTCATCCACTCAAATCTCTTGGATAGGTAGTAGTTTCACTTTGTCTCCGAACCTTATACTCAAATAACACACATGAAACACATTATGTATTCTTTCCAACTCCGTTGGTAACTCGAGCTAGTAAGTTTGCTTCCTAACACACACCAAGACCTTTAATGGCCCAATGTATCGTGGGTTTAACTTTTCCCTTTTTTTTCCAAAATGAATTACTCATCTCCAAGGTCAGGGCCGGTCCCGAGAATTCAAATGCCCAGGATGAGCCGGAAAAAAAAGGCCCTTAGGCCTTAAAGTGTAATGAATTAAAATTACATAAACTAATATTTTTTTTAAAACGACGATAAACTTTATAGCAATAAACATAGCAAAATCATAGTATTTTAATGAATAATTACATATCGTAGCAGTTAACCGACGATCCGTGAAGCTCTCCTAGCGTTCTTGATAGAAAATTGGTTGAGCAACTCTTCGTATTCTATACTCTCTAAGATTTCGTTCTCGATAGATATCATCGCCAAACCACTAAGTCTTTCTTGGGACATTGTGGAGCGTAAGTAAGACTTCAATAACTTCAACTTAGAAAAAGTCATTTCTGCAGATGCCACCGTTACTGGAATAGTCAACAATATTCTATATGCAATGCTTGCATTTGGGAAATAATCAAGTTCTTTCAAAAACTTCAAAACATCTATAGGGTTGCTAAATTCATTGGTTTCCAATGTCTCAAATAATTTCAACTCCGTATAAAGTTCCTCAACATCAATATCCGATCTTTCTTCAAACTTGAGTGCTTTTTCAAGACGATGACAAGACGACTTAAGATCTTTATCTTCAATTCCCTTCAAATTATGTGAAAATAAAAAACCAAATACTTTGTCATACTCTTTGAATTGTTCAAATCTTGTCTCAAGAGAAGAAATGGCTTGATCAACAATGTATAAGAAATAGTTGACTCTGAAATTCTCTTCAGGTGTAAATGAAACTTCTTCTCTACTTGAACTCTCATCAAACCTTTTTTTCCTTTCAATCAAACGTTTTTGTGGAAATATTGGATCAATACCCATTTCAATAGCAATGTCCTTAGCTTCATCAATCGCTTTTAAAAAACCAGTTTCTCTATAATCCTTGAAGTACCCAATCAATTTGTTTATTTCTGTAATAGCATTATCAAGATGCATATCCTTTGACTGTAACTTTTTACTCACCATATTCACATGGTTTAGCACTTCATGCCAGATAAAAGTTGATACCAAAAATTCAAAGTCACTAAGTTCTTTTTCTGCTAGTGAAGTTGCTTCACTTGCAATTGCAGCATCATTATCTTTTTCTCCAGCTTGAAGTAAAGCTTCTCGTACGTCAACAAGTTGCATTTTAATAGCCTTTACACTCTCAACTCGGCTTTCCCAACGAGTTTGACACAATGACTTAAGACTCCAAGCTTTTACATTATCTTTTAGGATTTCCCACCTCTTAGTAGAATTTGCAAAGATAGTATAAATGCGTTGGATGAATCCAAAAAAGTTCTTTTGTAACATCCCATTTCTCGAGTCCAAAAATTTTGATTTTTATATAACGACTTAGAAAACATTCATAAGAAAATATCATGAAGTCATATCATTTCGTAAAAACCATAATCTCATATCTGGAAATCATATCGTAAAAGTAGTAACAATGTCAGAGTACAATCCCAAGAAATCTCATAATGCGAAATCCAGTGTGTGTATGATGTGCAGCTACCGCGCCGGATCCTTCCCCTTCGCTGAAGAGCTACCTGAAACAAAACTGAAAACTGTAAGCACGAAGCTTAGTGAGTTCCCCCAATCGTACCACATACCATACAATCATATAGCATACATACTGTCGGGCAATTCTGGGGTGCCCGACCTACCCGGTACGACCATTCTGGGGTGCCGACCTACCCATGTCAAGCCATTATGGGGTGCGGACCAACCCGTGTCAAGCCATTCTGGGGTGCTGACCTACCCGTCGGTCCTAACAACCGAACTTGGGGACTATTACCCTCCTACACATATAACATATCATGCCAGCATATAAACATATCATCACATACTGTCAGACATATCTGGGGTGTCTGACCTACCCTTCGGTCCTAACAACCGAACTCTACTACTATCACATATAGCATGTCATGCCAGCATACAACATATCAGATAGTAGCAAACCTAGATGATATCACAAAGACGATCACCTAACATATAACTCTTACTGTTGGGCCGGTATTGTGGCCGTAGACCCACCGCTACTAGAAGGTAACTCACCTCAAACGAGTAGCTGCTGATAATCTGTGCGGGAAGTCTCTGTCTGCTGCTGCTCCGGAAATCCTCCGGCTATAAACCCCACAAAACACTCAGTCAGAATCTGATATCTACTCTTAGGGTAAAATGACTATTTTACCCCTAACCAAGACCAAGTCAAAGTCAAAGTCAAAGTCAAAGTCAACTTCCAGTTGACCTGATTCGCCGAGTTGGTCCGCCAACTCGTCGAGTCCCTATCCTTTTAACTGTCCTCATCTACGACTCTACTCGTCGAGTTTAGAAATGACTCGACGAGTTCCCCTTTTGCGAACATCGAATGAACCTTCATCCGACTCGCCGAGTTGTATGAACAACTCGTCGAGTGCATCCTCATCCTATGAACCAGTCCTGTCTTCGACTCGCCGAGTTGTATGAACAACTCGTTGAGTTCATCTTCAAGAGTTGGGAGATTGCCTTGGACTCGCCGAGTCTGTTCTAGCAGTCGTCGAGTCCTATGAACTCCAGGTCTCCCAACACATCTAAACAGCTATGGGACTCCCTCTTCTAACAACTGACCATCGTAGAAGGGTTTAAGATGGCTGAAAGCGCACCGACTCGCCGAGTCCCAAGAACGAGTCGCCGAGTCCAACCTTGACCATTTCTATACAGCCGATCTAAATGGGATTTAACACACCAAAACCATAGATCTGGCCTCCTAATGTCCATTTTATACGTAAAGTTCCAAACTTGATGCACATGCATGGGGTTTTTAGCTCAAAAGTCCATAGAAGGTGCTCTACAATGTGCATGGGGCTCTCATGGCCATAAAGTTGGCACCTTTATGCCATGAGGCCCCTCCAATGGCTCAGATCTGGAAGTAGAACCCCATGAATCACCTTACAAATCTGAAAATGGCTTAAGAAGCCCTAAATGCACCATGACTCTAGGCCCTAAAGACGAACAACCAAAAAGGAAGACCAAAACAGGGGGCATTTACCTTGCTTGAGCTGAAGATGAAGTAAGATCTCTGGATCTACAAGTCCCAACTCGAAATCCCAAGCTTCCTCTTTCCTTCCAAGCTTCACAAACCAACCAAGAACACCAAAATGACCTTAACACACACACAAACGGCTAGGGTTTCGATATCCAGCTCTAAGGGAGTGTTAGGGACAAGGGAGGCTGAGTTAAGGTGTTTATATAGGGTGCAAACCCTCAGATTTAGGGTTTTACTCGCACAACGCCTACTCGCCGAGTCCGTCTTCCGACTCGTCGAGTAGGTCACTTAAGATGTCTGCGGATCTCGACTCTACTCGACGAGTGGGTCCTCTGACTCGTCGAGTCCCAGGGAAAAACCTAAAAATGCTTGAATTAAATGCGTACCAGGAATTGGGTGCTACATCTTTCCTTTAACACACTTGTTAGCCATATCACATAATGTTAAATTAAGAGAATGGCAACCATAAGGAGTGTAAAATGCTCTAGGATTTATATCTAAAAATCTCGTTTGCACTCCTTGGTGTTTTCCTTTCATGTTTGCTCCATTATCATAGCCTTGACCACGCATATCATCAATTTCAAGACCAAAAGACTTTAACTCCTCAAGTGTAATATCAAATAGTCCTTTTCCGGAGGTATCATCAACATTCAAAAAACCTAAAAATGACTCCTCGACAGTAACAGAATTATAAGATAACTTTAAATACCTCACTATTATAGTCATCGATTCTTGGTGACTTGAATCGGGAGTACAATCAAGTATGATTGAGTAGTACTTTGCTTCCTTTATCGTCTTGATAAGTTCTTTTTTAATTTCTTGAGCAATCAAAAGTATTAGTTCGTTTTGGATCGTGTGCCCAAGATAATGCACATGAAGCTCGTCATTTGTGATCCGTCGCACATGCTCTTTGATAACTGGGTCAAACTCTTCCAACATTTCAATGACACCCAAAAAATTTCCATTACCTGTTAAATATATTTAACAGATAAGAAGTGGGATCAATAATAATAATTAACAAAAAGGTATTTGTTGGAATTGGAAAAAAATAATACAATCTATAGTTACCTTTTTGATACAACTTTTCATTTGATCCACGGAATGCTAAATTATGTTTAGCAAGAAACTTCACTACTGCAATGATTCGCAAAAGGACTTGTTTCCAGTAATCTCTTTCTTTCTTGAATTACTCGTATTGAACTTTATCAATTGTTTCATTCAAGTTCAATCTTTTACGCATATC